ATGGTACTAAGATGTTTATAAAAAGTAGTATAATAAAATAGAAAAAAAGTAGGTAAAACATTTTGAGGAAAACTGCAAAAGCATAATTTTCTTAATATGTGAGAATGTTTTATAAAATGACCAATAAGTAAATATTCACAGATGGAAGACAAGTTCAAAAATTATGAAAAAAAAAAACCCAGAAATGACAACGTATAGAGCAGTGTTTGGTTGTTTAATTATAAAGCAAACTAGAACAATAGAAAAACAATTTCCATCTTTAGATTTACAAAGATACAACTTAAATCATTAACTACTGATGGAGGTCATATTAGTGATGCATGTCTGAAAACGTAAGCTGGCTAACGTGAGTAATGTTTTCCAAACCAGGCAGCAGTACCATATAGCCCATGGCACATACGTTTCTTACCATGTGACATCAGCTTTCCTCCATTGAGAGGGGAGTTTATGTTTTCTCCTCTTGAACCTGAATAACCTTTGTAATTGCTTCCACTAATAAAATGTGGCAAAGAAGATACTGTGTGACTTGAAAGGCTAGGCCATAACACACAGTAAAGCCTTATCCTTCCCCTGTGCTCTCTCCATCCCTGCCCCTCTTCCTCCTCCCTTCCCTCTCTCCTCTCTTTCCTCTTCTCCCTCCTTCCCCCACCATCCACTTGCAGCCTCATCACTGTCCTGGGCAGAGCGAGGCTCTGAGCTGACAGTGCCCATCAACCACGACACATGCAAAAGGCGATCCATCTACCAGTAATTCATTATGTTATTTCAGGAGGTGGCATAAAAAATAAGTCATCGAGACTTTTTTATAACCTGGTAATGTCTTGGAAAACATTTTACGACTTTACCAAAAGTTGGAGAGAGGGGTGTTTTGGACTAGAAAAAGGCTGAAGGAATCAGCAGATATGTCTCACAATTTCACAAAGAGGAGGAAACTAACGCTCAAGGATTACCATTGCCCAACAATCAAATAATAAAAAGCAAGCAAGCCAGAGTTAGAAATCAGATTGCCTAAATGTGTGTCTACTTTTTTGTCTGCCACATTCCATTGCAGGATAATGCCACACTTGCCCAGATAGGCCAAAGAAAATGACCACTTTCAGTCCTCCAGGATAGATGTCAACTGGCTATGGAATGCTCAGAACAGAGTCATTTTTGGATTCTATTTAATTAATCATACAGCTCTAAATGTGGACTAAGGCTCTGCCTCATGCTATATAGATTGCATCCAGAGCCATTGTTTAAATAATTGAGTGGTTATGGCAATCTTCCTAAATCATTACAAATTATTAAGCAGCATGTGGTACAATTGGGACCAAGAAGGCTCAGGTGTAATAAATGATTGTCCTTTGAGAGAGCCATTTCTTCAAAATAGACAAGTAATTTATTAGGGAAATACAAGAAGCTCCAACTGCAGTAATTAAGCATACTTAAAAATGTTATATACATATAATCTTTTGCTTCCTGTGTGAATTAAAGCCGAAAGCAAAGATCAATTTCCCAAAAAGCGATTGAAAGGATGCAAAAACTTGTTCGTTGACTTATTTATATCTTTATAAAAATAGCAATTATTTTGCATGAAGAATTTCTCATTTTTATTTAAAAGTGTTCACTTAATTTAGATTTTAGAACTTGCATGAAACCAAGAAAAAAAAAACTCAGCAAATTGGAAAAATTCAAAGTAGGACAGTAGTAGAATATTATTGATTGGTATTTTAGGGGAATAAAATAGAAAATAAAAATTTTAAGATCTAGGTAATTTACAAGACAGAAGAATTTTTAAATGAACAGAAGATCAAGAATAATTCTGAAGTTATTCTACGAAAAGCTATAAACCAAAGTCTAGAACATCTTGAGTTTAAGTCTACCTGGCTCTTGAGTTACGCAGAAACTTTGGTCAGGGGTTTAATAAATCTGGTGACATCCTCTATTTCCTTTCTTGGAGCAAACATATAATATGTTTATCGTCTTTTGGCTTTTATATGTGATTTGTGAATCTTTTCCTTTCTGCTGCATTTTATAATCCTGTTTTCTACGTAACCATTGTTTGATTTCATTATGTATGAAGATATGGACAGTTATTTTGAAGAAAATAAGAAACATTATGGTAGCCCTTGTTGATTTCTACACATTACTACTTTTTTCATCAAATATAGAATGACAATAAAGTGAAATTATTCTTAAAGAACCAATTAAACATTCTGAAGTTGAAAAGTACAATAACTGAAATGAAAATATACTAAAGCTCAACCAACAGCAGATCTGAATAGGTGGAAGAATTTGAACATAGGGGATACTCAGTCTGAATGTCACCATTAAAAAGGGCGGAGTAAGAATTAACATTACCTTAGTGCCCTGTAAAGATTTCCTAGACAGGAGAAAGGAACAGAAAGAATATACAAATAAAAATAGTAGCAATTTGCCCAATCTAATTAAAGACATTCATATGTACATCTAAGGAATTCAAAAACCTCCAAGTAGGAGAAACATAAAGAGGTATACACCTCAAAATATCAAAATCTAACTTCAAAAAACAAAGCCAAAGGATTCTTCAGAAGAGGAAGACACAAGAGACTCATGTAAGGAATTCTCTAAACAGTGTTGGTGAACTTTTTAGAGACCAGTGCCCAAACCGCAATGGAAAACCCACTTATTTATTGCAAACTACCAACACTGCATTAAACCTGAACATTGAGGTTTTAGTTTAGAAAAAAATATCATACATTAACATATTTTATCTTAAAAGCATGAAATCAGAGCTTTCAATGATGCAGCTTTTCACTGAAAGGTGAAAAACAAAAGCATGTGGTGTGCTTTTGTTGTTTTGTTGTTTTTTGCACAGTTAATGTGACCTTTGTGCTTGTATGCAGGCTGATAATTTGTGAGACCCTGGCTGAGGGAGACAAAGCGTATATGGACAGAGAGGGCTTTCCCCACTGTGGCATGCGTACCATAGGCTCACGTCTCTGCTCAATAAGATAAATAGGCAATTTCTTTTGGAAGCCGTCTAGGTTAGAAGGTAGAAGGATAGTATATTCAAACTGGAAAAAGAACATGATTGCAAAGAACTCTGTATTCAGGAAAACTTCTCTTCCACATAAGACATCATCTCTACTCTTTTTTTTTTTTTGGTCTTTTTCCTTTTTATCGGTACCAGGGATTGAACTCACGACTGCCTGCTTGCAAGGCAGCCACTTATGCCGCTGAGCTAAATCTCCAGCCCCATCATCTCTACTCTTTCCTTTGGTTCTTTAAACATAGTTTCATTTAGCTCATCTCTTTATTGTAAATTTAAATTTATTTTAATGGACACATAGCATTAAACATTTATGACATGTTATGCGATATTTTGATACATGTATACACAGAATAATGTTTTGATTAGATTAGGCATAGTTAACTCCTCATTTATCACTTTATGGTGGAAATATTTAATACCTGATTTAAAGTCTTTGTCTAGTTATTCCAATATTTGGACTACTAAAGAGGAATTTTCTATTCTTTAGATACATGAGCCAAGTTTCTTATTTATTCAAATGTTTTCTATTGTCTATATGTATAAGCCAGTTTTCTTATTTATTCAAATATTTTGTATTTTTTGTTGAAATTTGACATGTTAAACTGTGTAATGGGACTCTGTAAACATAAATCTTCTCATTCCCCAGTGGTTGCTGCTCTTGCTATTCGTTGTTTGTGTAGTGAATTTTCTATATGGAATTCTGTATTTTGTCTCATGTGTGGTCACTGACATTTCTGCTCAGTTAGGATAGTGGTCAGTTAACAACTGCATGAAGATTTTCCTCAATGGCCTGAACCAGTGACTGTCCTAATCTTTGCCATGAGGCTGTCTGTGCATTCTGAAAAATGCCTTTGTCTCTGCCATGGGCAGCTGAGAATGCTGGGCCTCACTTCTTGCTTGTGCAGAGCCTCAAAATCAACCTGAAGTGAGAGATTTGGACTTTGAGGGGTCTTTCCTGAGAATGTGTGAGGCTGCTGTTGAGGTTATCAAGGACCTATTAGAGGTTATCAGTCCTCTATGGAAATTTCATCTTTCAAATTTTCTTTTTAAGCTTTTGAATTAACCTATTCTTGGAAGGTCTCATTTGTTTTTCTTTCTGTTTTTCCTTTCTCTACCCCATTTTATCCTTACCTCTTTTTTCTCTTTGCAAGGATTCATCTAGTGACAGTAGCAAAAATAGCAGAACAAGGATCTCTGCAAATTCTCTTCTCCATGAAAGCAGTGACAAAACTGGCAAAACACAGAATTAAAGTCTTCAAGACAAAATTAAGCGATGGCTTTTAGCAATCCGGGGAATGTTTATTTGGTTTCACTTGCTATAGTTGAATGAATGTCATTTCTCTCTACAAAAGCTGTAATTGCTTCTTAATGACAGTGCTTCTGGTAGACTTTCAGAGCCTGATAGTCTTATTTATTTTCTCTTTGCTACTTCATTCCTCACTCTTTCTTCAGGTGTCACCCTTTTCCGTTAGAAAGCCCCATCTAGTGCATGGTTCTCCCTCCCTGCACCACTTGCCCTCTATACCCACGCTGCAGCTTCCTGGGATCGGCTGGGGACCGCCATGCTGCAGCAAGGAGGGAACCCTGAACCCGAGGAACTACCTGACAGGGCCAGCGCAGACCCCTGTAATTCTGCCCACATTTGAGGTGCTGATTTCCTATTCAAAGGTACTTTTACCCTCTTACAAGGATGATGGGATAAAGAATTATTCCCTGTTTGTTTCTTCTACATAGAAGTCAGAGTGGCCCACAGAATTCCATGAAAGTGTAGACTTGAAAGAAAAGTTAAAGGTGGTTCAGAGTTTCTGTATCATTGTTGAATTTGAGCTTGGTACCATGTGAAAGTCAAAACACCTGCCTATTAATTTTCTGATTCATATAATAATAACATGCAGTTGGTAACTTTGCAAAACAGAGCATATTAACCCTTATCATCTTGAGTAATTTTTAAAACTCAAATTCCCTCATTTAAAAAGAAATTATCATGCTTGCTTCAACTGCACACTTACTAAAATTGAAACAACTCAGAGAAGATTAGTATGGCCTGTGCAGAAGGGTGATACACAAATTCGTGAAGCATTCCATCTTAAAAAAAGAAAAGAAAAGAACGAAAGAAAGAAGAAATTATTCCCTTTTTAATAAAGAAAGAATGTCAAAATCTGAATATTTTAGTCTTTATTACAGTTATAATACTCAACCTAGGATTCCTATTGCATTGGATTTACTCAGGAGATACTCTCTTAGGTTGATTCTTAGTCTTCATCATGTGGGTGACCATATTTTACTAAGTGGCCCTTGTAGAGCGAATTTTTAAAAACCTGTTTTGTAAGGTGAGTAAATATTCATTAAGTTGATACTTAATAGGAAGTTTCTCTCATGTCACTATGGAAATAAGACATTATGTGTATATAATTGGAGTTTATACCTCTTATTCAGTATTCTGGAAGATTGTAAAAATAATGTTTTCTTCACAAATAATGGTAAATGAACAATCAAAATAAATGGAAATAAATTTCTGCTTTCAAACTTTACTCAAGAATTCACTTTTAAGAAAGCGTGAAAATTTGAATATTCCATTACTAGTGGTAACATCATGATAATAAGTCAACAATTTGTAAACATGCTTCAGTGCATCTGAAGAAATCCACATGCTGTGACATAGTATTAAATCTTATTTTCCACATTTAACAGAAAATATTCATAAATGCATTTTTCCTTTTCCCTTGAAAAATTGAAAATTGTTGGAGGCAATATGTTAATTTAATTGCATTTTATCTTGTGTCTGATTAATCTTGCATACACAAAAAGGGAAACATTTGGGATTACTTTTTATGCTAAATTGATGATAACTCTAAAGAAATCACTGGTATTATTTGAATAAGAATTTTAATCTCTAAATTGAAAAAGACATTAAAACAGATCTTTAGCAGTTTAATAACTAAGGAAGCCATTATCTTATTGGTTTAGAGCACCGTGTATGTTTATAAAGTACTTGACAGAATGAATTTTGGGGGGTAAGTGTCTGGGAAGTATTAATATTTTTCCATCAATTATTATCAGTACTTTAAACCCCTGTGTGTGTGTGTGTGTGTGTGTGTGTGTGTGTGTGTGTATGTGTGTTTGTGTGTGTGTGTGTTTGTCTGGTATTACGGCTGGTGTGTGTGTGGGTATTACGGCTCAGTCTAGATGTTCCTCTAAAGCCTTATGCTTTAGAGGGGGCTTTTAAGGGGTGGATGAATCTAGAATGTGCAGTGCTGGGATCAAGTGTGTGTGATTACTAAACTAGTCCACTCATTGGTTTGGCATAGAGGTGGCTAGGATTACAGGGATGAGTGCTACACACGCCTAGGGCAAGCAGCCTGTATAAAATACAAAGGACAGAAAAAGGGCTAATGTGCTCTGCTGTCCTGCTTGCCATGGACTATTTCTTCTGTGCAATGCCTCTCTTCTGAGCCATCATCTTAGAGCCCGCTGACTATGGACTGCAACCTCTACATACTGTAAGCCAAATAAGCCTTTCCGTCTTTACTTTTGGATATTGAGTATTTTGTCTTGGCAGTGAGAGAAAAGTAACTAAGACACTGAGGATTTAATTCAGGGCTTTCATTCATCTTTATTCCTACTTAAATATCTCTATCTCTATCTCTCTCAATCTCTCTGTCTCTCTCTCTTTCAAGCATAGGTCTCTAAGTTGTTAAATTGCCCAGGCTGGGCTCAATTTGCTCCTGCCTCAGCTTCCCAGTGCGAGGATGACAGGCATGCACCACCATAGCCATCTTAAGCTACTTTGGTATGCAAATTTTAGCCACCTTTCATGAATTTGGTGCCACTGTACGAAATGTGTTCTGAATTAAACTAATCAGTGTCTTTCCTGAAAAAAATTACTAATAACTGTAAAGTAAACTGGAATGCAACTTAACCAACTGAATGATTAGAATTTTAAAAGCAAATTATTTTAAATAGGAAAACATTATTTTCACACATAATAGCTCCAATTCTGTGTGCTCCATATTCAAAATGAGCTGAAAGAAGAATGCTCCCTGAGAGACCATGCCAGCCTAGACCTCAGTAGAGGGTTTCACCATGTGACATCCCCAGAGGCAGTGCTGGGCCGAGTGCACAGCTTTCTGTGGAGCTCACCAAAGGCCAGATGTTGCTACTAGAGTGTTCCAAGGCTTGGCAGCTGGGGTCTTGGCCAGCTCAGGAGATAGCCTTGGGTCCTGTGTCTACTGCTAAAATACGAAATGAAAGGAAGTTGCACAGCAGAGGGTCTAAATGATTCTGAAGAGACAAACAGGAATGGAAAGTAATTCGAAGTAACACTAGCTTTTGGTAAATTTTTGGTTGTCTACAGGATTAAATATGTAGATAATGTCAAAATGGTTGCAAAGCTTGGAATAAATAATTTCTCATTGACCTTAAGTTAATTGTGTCAATCAGTGGAATTATTAGAGAGTGCACAGCCCAGGCTTTGGGGACAAGGGACAACAGAAGGGGGAGGGGGCTGCTGTCTCCTCCCAGATCGCAGCTTCAGAGTGTTTTGGACAGTTCATCCCATTTTTATGAAATCGAGATTTGAAATGTGGAAGCAGCAAGAGTACTATTGCTATGCAAAACTAATGTGATGTATGAATCTGAGTTTGTAAAAGTCTTCTTACTTTTTGGAGTTATAAGTAATAGCTTGATAGCAAGTAACACAGTGGTAATAAGAGCCTTAAAAGAATCATACTTTTAAATTCAACGATCCTACCCCTTAGGAATCTGTTCAAAGAAATGAATCGATTACCAACCAAGTTTTTTTTTTGTTAGAATGTCATCATAAATGTAAAGAGTCAAATACTTAGATAGAAGATGTTACACATGATATTCTGTAGCACTAAAGTAATTTAAGATTATTTAATTGCACAGAAAATAATATGATTCTTATGGGCAGAGAAAACTTTATAGAAAATAATACCCCAATTTAAAAAATCAGAATAGAAAACAACAACAAAAAAGAAACTATCGATTTTTAAATCTGGATAATGGATTAGGTGATTTTTCTGTATTTGTTACCGCTTTGAGTATAAAGATCATGTAAAATATTATGCGAATAGGATTTAAAATAGCACTTTTTTATGACTCAGTAGAATGTAAAAATTAGAAAAAACAAAACAATTTCAGCTTCTTCAAACATGAAACATAGGAAATTCTCAAACTGTTCACAAAAATGATGGGATTTTTGCTCCATGTTTACTGAGAATCTAGCAAAGGGAAATCCAGATACTATTGGTTCAATAAACAATAATATATGAAAAATCAGTTTTTAAACTAAAATATCATCTCTGGATATTTTTAGTCGTGCTGCACTAAGAAAGAATCTCAAAATGGTCAACAATTTCATGCTAAGTGGCTTTTCTTTTCATACGCTGGTTTACTTCACTTAGTCTACGTATTAGCTTTCATTTAGATCACAAATAACTGTCTTTCAAGATCCTTTTTGTGTTCTTTTCTCATACACTAAACACTGAAAATAAGCTCATTCTTATTGGGCTTCTGTTTTGTAGTTGGAGATTTTGAGTATTTGTTATTTTTGTTTGCAATTTTTTTCTTTTGATTCTTGAGAATATTTATCATTGAATTTATATATATATATATATATATATATATATATATATATATATATATATAAACATACCTGGAAACAAATGTATTATAATCTAAGTTAGATGCCCACTTAGGAACCTCTCTGTGTGGGGAAACTGACTCTCAATGGTAGCATCGAGAAAGAGGGAGAAGAGAGAGAGAGAGAGAGAGAGAGAGAGAGAGAGAGAGAGAGAGGTTCAATTTAGTTCTTTTTCTCTCTGAAGAGCATGGCATGAGCTCAGCTGGGCCCCGCATCCTCAGCCCAGCCCTCGGCAGAAGCAGTGAATTCAGCCATAACTGCAGCAGGGTCTGATCATTCTCCTGATGAAATTACACTGATCTAATTTGCACGCTGTGAAGACATTTGGCACTGGCTGGATCTGAGCCTTGACATCTTCATTGGAATTAAAAGTACACTAAGAACTGACATTACGTTTCACATTCTTTTCTGCCAGGCTGTGGCATTTCGTCCTCTTTAAAGGCATTATTTCAAGAACATTTAATTTGGCTTTGATATGCCTGCCATTTTGCCGGGTGGAACATACTGAGCCAGAAAAGCTCAGCTGTAATAAAGTTTGGCACCAACAGCCCACCATATACCTGCACCATCCTGTGCAATTTAATTGGCATTCAGTGGGTTGATAAATGGATTGGCTTAATGAGACAATATACTTGACATATGCAGGACTCTCCTGAGGAATAGGATTCATTTTTTCACTTCACACATCAACATGTTACAGATACCAACACAGTCACCTCCAGCAGTTGTGCTGTCACCAACGGATGCTTCCACTGGCTGACCAATCTCCCAGCATCTCACTCCTGCTCCCTCAGCATCAGCCAAAGCACCGTTTAACATCTCATTGTCTTTTTTGTTTTCCCAGATACAAGGAATAAGATCGCTTCCATGCTTCATTTACCTACATCTGTATTTTCCTAGCAGATCAAATGGCTTTGTGGTCCAAATGGATTAGTTTTATCGCTGTAAAATGAGGACGAGATACAAAACACAAGTAATAACGAAGTCTAGGTGTAACTACTGCCATAGGCAATCGTGTAAAGGAGCAAGGGGTGCCATGCTATCTTCACGAATGTTGGTTTCAAGTGGGAACTAATTACAACAACAAAGAGACACCATTTTTCACTCCGCAGATTAGCAGAGATGAAAAAGAACCATGAGGCTGTGTGTTGGCAGGGAATGGAGAGAACCAGTGCCGCTTGCTCTGCTGGTGGGATTCTAAATTAATACTACTTTCTGGAAGGCAATTGGCAATATGTATGAAAGGCCTTAAAAATGGGCATAGCCTTTCACTAAGCACTGTCACTTCTGAAAATATATCCCGAGGAAATGATGATATCCTAAAGGTAGATTCAGTGATGACCATCAAGTTGATTTGTAATAAGAAAAAAAAAAAAAAAAAAGAAACCATATAGATTTCTTTATAAAAGGAAACAACCTAAACAAA